GTGTACTGCTGTGAGTGGGCTGACCCACCCTGGTGTACTGCTGTGAGGGGCTGACCTACCCTGGTGTGTACTGTGTGATGTTGACCTGGTGTGTAGCTGACCCACCCTGGTGTGCACTGCTGTGAGGGGGCTGACCCACTTGGTGTGTACTGTTGTGACCTACCCTGGTGTGTACTTATCCACCACCCTGGTGTGTGTATTGTGTAGGGGGGCTGACCCACCTGGTGTGTACTGTTGTGAGGGGACTGACCTACTCTGTGTGTACTGTTGTGAGGGGCTGACCCACCTGGTGTGTACTGTTGTGAGGGGCTGACCCACCTGGTGTGTACTGTATGAGGGGGCTGACACACCCTGTAGAGTGCTACTGTATGAGGCTGACCATCCCTGTAGTGCAGTACTATGTGAGGGCTGACCCACCCTCTGATGTGTGAGCGGGTGGGAGAGGAAGACAGTGGAGTGGAAGTGTGTGTGTGTGTGTGTTTGCGTGTGTGTGTGTGTGTGTGTGTGTGTGTGTGTGTGTGTGTGTGTGTGTCAATACGTATAGATGTTTTGCTTGTGAAAAGCTGACACACACACACACACACACACACACACACACATACACACGCAAAGACATACAAACGCACAAAGACACAGACATACACACACACACACACACACACAGACATACACACACAAACACACACCACATAACAGAAAATAACAACTAACAAATATCACAATAAAAGTTATACACGGAACAATAAAGATTCACTACCAAGGTGTGTGGATGTGTGGGTAGAGGTGGTTGTGTGGGTATGTGGGTGGAGGTGGTTGTGTGGGTGTGTGGGTGGGAGATGGTTGTGTGGGTGTGTGTGGGTAGAGTGGTTGTGGGTGTGTGGGTGGAGATGGTTGTGGGTGTGTGGGTGGAGATGGTTGTGTGGGTGGGGTTGTGTGGGTGTGTGAGTGGAGATGGTTGTGTGGGTAGGGGGTTGTGTGGGTGTGAGTGGAGATGGTTGTGTGGGGTGGAGGTGTGTGGGTGTGTGGGTGGAGATGGTTGTCTGGGTGTGTGGGTAGGGTGGTTGTGTGGGTGTGTGGGTGGGAGGTGGTTGTGTGGGTGGAGTGGTTGTGTGGGTGTGAGTGTGGGGGTGTGTGGGTAGAGATGGTTGTGTGGATAGAGGTGAGGTGTGTGGGTAGAGGTGGGTGTGTGGGTAGGGTGGTTGTGTGGGTGTGTGGGTAGGGTGGGTGTGTGGGTGAGGTGGTTGTGTGGGTGTGTGAGGGTGGTTGTGTGGGTGTGTGTTGGTTGGATAGGGTGGTTGTGTGGGTGTGTGGGTAGGGTGGTTGTATGGGTGTGTGGGTAGAGGTGTTGTGTTGTGTGGTGTGGGTGTGTGGGTGAGGGTGGTTGTGTGGGTGTGTGGGTAGAGGTGGTTGTGTGGGTGTGTGGGTAGAGGTGGGTGTGTGGGTAGAGGTGGTTGTGTGGGTAGAGGTGGTTGTGTGGGTGTGTAGGTAGAGGTGGTTGTGTGGGTGTATGGGTGTAGGTGGGTGGGAGGAGCACCGTTTTACCAGTGGCGTTCAACCAGATATCAAACTAGTGAAGCAGCTTCGCCCGGAAAGAGAATATGTGGTGGTGATGGTGGTGGTAGTCATGACAGTGGTGATGGTAGTGGTGATGGTGGCGGTGATGGTAGCAGTGATAGTGGTGAAAGCGGTGATGGGTCATTCAGTGATTTTAACCATAGCAGTCACTGATATGGTCAATACAATAATAAAAAAAACTACAATACAGGTTACAATATCAAAAAACTAGAGTACATGTTACAGTACCCAAAAAGTGTATTACATGTTGGAGTACAAAAAGTCATATTAAATGTGTATAAAACTGTATTATTAGTATGTATAGACAGGCTATCATTACGTATTGGTATAATGTATGCATAAATTAGTAGGATTACAATTAAAATGTCGTAAATGTGGGTGTAGGACAGTTAGTAATATAGACAAGCGTTAATGAGAGTATACATACACAGCTGCTGGGTAATTAAAGCATCGGATTAAAATTAACGACCTAATAACCTTCTCTCCCGGGCGGTGTCCTTCCCCCAACACTGCCAGGTCCTCCTCCAACACTGCCAGGTCCTTCCCCAATACTGCCAGGACCTCCTCCAACACTGCCAGGTCCTTCCCAACACTGATAGGTCCTCCCCAACAATGATAGGTCCTCCCAACACTGATAGGTCCTCCCCAACACTGCCAGGTCCCCCCAACACTGCCAGGTCCTCCTCCAACACAACACTGCCAGGTCCTCCCCAATACTGCCAGGTCCTCCTCCAACACTGCCAGGTCCTTCCCCAACACTGCCAGGTCCACCCCTAATACTGCCAGGTCCTTCCCCAACACTGCCAGGTCCTCCTCCAACACTGCCAGGTCCTCCCCAACACTGCCAGGTCCTCCTCCAACACTGCCAGGTCCTCCCCAACACTACGAGGTCCTCCTCCAACACTGCCAGGTCCTCCCCAACAATGATAGGTCCTCCCCAACACTGCCAGGTCCTCCCCAACACCGAGGTCCTCCTCCAACACTGCCACGTCCTCCCCAACACTGATAGGTCCTCCCCAACACTGCCAGGTCCTCCCCAACACTACGAGGTCCTCCTCCAATACTGCCAGGTCCTCCCCAACACTGATAGGTCCTCCCCAACACTGCCAGGTCCTCCCAACACTACGAGGTCCTCCTCCAACACTGGTCCTCCCCAACACTGATAGGTCCTCCCCAACACTGATAGGTCCTCCCCAACACTACCAGGTCCTCCCAAAACTGCCAGGTCCTCCCCAACACTGCCAGGTCCTCCTCCAACACTGCCAGGTCCTCCCCAACACTACGAGGTCCTCCTCCAACACTGCCATGTCCTCTCCAACACTGATAGGTCCTTCCCAACACTGATAGGTCCTCCCCAACAATGATAGGTCCTCCCCAACACTGCCAGGTCCTCCCCAACACTGCCAGGTCCTCCCCAACACTGCCAGGTCCTCCCACTGCCAGGTCATCCTCCAACACTGCCAGGTCCTCCTCCAACACTGCCAGGTCCTCCTCCAACACTGCCTGCCAGGTCCTCCTCCAACACTGCCATGTCCTCCCCAACACTGCCAGGTCCTTCCCCAACACTGCCAGGTCCTCCCCAACTGCCCCCAACACTGCCAGGTCCTTCCCCAACACTGCCAGAACACTGAGGTCCTCCCCAATGTCCTCCCCAACACCTCCTTTTCCTCCAACACTGCCTGATAGGTCCTCCCCAACACTGCCAGGTCCTCCCCAACACTGCCAGGTCCTCCCCAACACTGATAGGTCCTCCCCAACCCTGATAGGTCCTCCCCAATACTGATAGATCCTCCCCAACCCTGATAGGTCCTCCCCAATACTGATAGATCCTCCCCAACACTGATAGGTCCTCCCCAATACTGCCAGGTCCTCCCCAACACTGCCAGGTCTTCCCCAACACCGTCAGGTCCTCCCCAACACTGCCAGGTCTTCCCCAACACCGTCAGGTCCTCCCCAACACTGCCAGGTCTTCCCCAACACCGTCAGGTCCTCCCCAACACTCCGCTGTCCTCAGTCAAAATCGGACGCGGGTGTGACCTCGTGACGTAAACATATTCTAGAAGTAAGGAATTTTATCAGAAAGTATCAGGGATTCATTGCCATCGACCGTGTATGCCTGTTGTGGTGAACAGCGTGGAGCTCGGTCAATTGCCCCGGGGGGATACACTCACCTCTACTAGTTGTGCCTCAACCATCGGGGCCAGACTCAACCTGCTGTGTGACTTAGTTTAGGTTAACTACCCCCCCCACCCCCCAAAAAAAAAGGGTGATCACCTTAAAATTAGCCCTTCCGCGTTTCATTTTAAACTAACAACGCTAACCTAAGTTGACCTGACAAAACCTGTTAATCTAACACAAATGTAACCTAACACAGTCTAATCTAACCTAATGAAAGCTAACCCTCCAGGTAGTGTTACGGAGTTTAATCATCAGGGGAAATAAGCTGGGGTTAATATTTAAGTGATTCATAAAATAAATCAATCTTGAGGTAAGATAAGGAGGGGGTGAATGTTCAGCTGATCCTGTAAATACTGTATCTGTAAGTCATTGTTTCGTCTACTACTGGGTACACCTGCGAGAAAATGACAATAAAACTTAAGAAAATTTGGATACGTGGGAATTAACTCTACTGTTAATATATTTCTAGTGTTATATATTTTTTTGCAGAATTAAACTTTTTAGTAACAAGCATTTCAAAATAATTTCAGCACATTAAAATATTTTGTATTAAATAAATCTAATTTTAGGTAATGTAAAATATCACAACGCAGTGACATGTTTCTTTAACCGCTGAAGAGCGACATTTTAAGGTAAATTTAAGTACTGTACTATAAACACAATAAGGGAACACTACTGGTGGCGACATCTATTGGTTGGAACATTCACTACCGAGGCGCTATCACGGCCACACCCGTCCGTCTGTATTACGGTATAATGGTTACCCCTAGTGGCTGGCTGGCCCGAGTGCCACCAAGGCGTGAATTTGTTTAAGGTGAAGAAGCTGTCGCCAACACAACAACCACACCCTGAGTTAACGAGTTGCATGACCCAGAGTCAATGAATAATCCAAGAAGACCGGACAACTTGTGAAGTTCACTGGCTGACCATTACCCTGGAATACGTTCCGCAAATCTATTAACATCCAGGTTTTCAATTACTTCTCGATTTTTTTCTTCTAAATGAGCTATGATATACTGTGCAAAGGCAAATAGCGTAAAGAAACTTGCAAAACTATTACATCACACGTCACGATCTGTTTTATACTAAATATCCATCAACGACTTGGGTATCTTAATACACTTGTAACTACAGAGCTTAAGTAAGCTTGACTACTGTCCTCACCAAAACATCAGTACAGCTTGTTTACTCGACCTACAACAGACATCCTTCTCATGGTTCACCACGCTTGGTGACCAGACACTCACCTTGCTGGTACCTTCCCTTAGTGTTGCACAGATCCTTGATGACACGGATGGTGCCCGCGTACAGCTTGTTGAAGTACTCCCTGTGCTTCAGCGTGAGACAACGGCGAGTATAGTTATCGATACACTGAAGCCCATCGAGCAGCACTCTGAGGGCACCAGGAGAGGGAGTGAGACATACTATACTTACTCACGGCCACAACACTTAAACTCACATGTAAGAAGACATTTTGATATAATTTACATTCTAATTTGATCTTATATATCAGAAGTTTTTAAAATATTTGTAAAAAATGTCATGTTATTTCTTCACTGATATTCTTAAAATTATTCTTAATGTAAATATGTTCACTAATAGTAATCAAGCACACCTAAAGGCATAACCATCACGCTCAATCACGGACACATTCATCATGCTCCATCACGGCCCAAAACCATCACGTTCACTCTTGGGCTGCTTCAGGCACACTTATTCACATCACGTTATTCACGCTCACTCACGGGCCACACAACAATGATGCTCACTCACGGGCCACACAACAATGACGCTCACTCACGGGCCACACAACAATGACGCTCACTCACGGGCCACACAACAATGACGCTCACTCACGGGCCACACAACAATGATGTTCACTCACGGGCTACACAGCAGTGACGCTCACTCACGGGCCACACAACAATGACGCTTACTCACGGGCACATTCTGTTAAGCTCGTCGACGGAGGCAGCAAAGCCGAGGTCCTTGTTGGTGAGCACTTCAAGGAGGTTGACACACTCAGCGATGTCATTGTTGTTGCAGTCGTGATGTTGTTGACGGACTGTATTGGTCCTTCCCTTGCTGCTCCTCTCGTCAGCCGTCTCCTGAAGGGGTGATGGCAACGTGTTACTACTGACGAGTGGATGACATTAATGTAGAGAGAGAATAACTGTGCTACTTTCAAACTCACTTACCAAACATAGAAAACTGTCTGCTTGTAAATTATATATATGTAGGTGCTCAAGATATTACATTGGTACCAGGAAATTTCAGGAATTAGCCAACGTATCTAACAAGTCACAAATACTAACGTTGGTTATAATCTAAAATTAACTCAGATTTTATGTACAGTAATTCTATTCTTTAAGTTCAAGTTAATAGTTATCACCGTGTGTGTGTGTGTGTGAGAGTGTGTGTGTATGTGTGTGTGTGTGTGTGTGTGGTGTCAGCTGGTCACACGCACTCATGGATGCTCTCACTCACACCATTATTAATATAATCAACTGTTTGACCTCTCTCTCTCTCTCTCTCTCTCTCTCTCTCTCTCTCTCTCTCCTCGAGCTATGTTCATTATACTAAGCAAACAAAACAACTCAACAGGGGTAAGTATTCTCAGACCAACACTCACGCAACAAAGAGTGACACTATCTACCCCCAAGACTATTCACGACAGAACTGAGGGTGCAGTGAGAGGTGTAAACAGGCCTGGGTCGTGGTTAACGTTCATCGACTCAAAGAGGTTTAACATCTTAAGTCACTCGCTCGTAACAGCTGGTTGAGACACTGTAAGGCGTCTGGTGGGAGTATAACCCGGGGTAGTGAGGTGTATGACCACTGAGCCACCCATAACTTTCTGTGTTGACAACTGGTAAAGAGAGAGATACTGTAGTGTTATGTTAGATTATTGACATTATTTGTGGTGGTGCTATTATTATTATTATTATTATTATTATTATTATTATTATTATTATTATTATTATTATTTTTATTATTATTATTATTATTATTATTATTATTATTATTATTATTATTATTATTATTGAGATGGGAAAAAACTAAGAGTTAACTTTGACCTTGAATTCTGACCTCAACCTTTGACCTATATCTTCTAAAATTACATGACTATCTCCCTGGGGGCGCTGGTGGTAGAAGCGGTACCGTTCTTGCCTCGCAAGCGAGATGTCACGGGTTCGATTCCCGGGCCGGTGGAAGTTGTTTGGACTTACTTCTTAGCCCCCATTAGTCCCTGTTCACCTAGCAGTAAAGTAGGTACCTGTTGTAAGTCGAAAGTTGCGAATTCGTATTCAGGGACAAGGTGTTGGAGCTTCCAATAACTTGATGACATACACCATTGACTCTTCAGGCTTCTACGCCCTTAACTCATGAGACATAAGGCAAGCATGAACTTAGCATGCTTCCCTGTTGGGCGCTGTAAACGCTTCTGCGCTTCACCTTACACAGGGATGTAGGGGGGTGCCCTACAAGATTAAGGCAAATGGGTCAATACATTTATGAGATAAAGTATTTAGTAAAAATGAAAAAAAATCGATGTTTTTGCCCTCCAGCACTGACTCTGATTTCTGACCACTCTCTGCCAAGTTTCACTCAGATCGACCCATTCCTCTGTGGACTCTTATCATATTTTCCCAAACATAAAGCTGCTAAGATGTTCCTATACTTATATAACATCTTCAGACGCTGTAGTGAAGCTAAGAATCCTTCTACATATGGTGAGGGAGGTGGAGACAGCTCCTCCCACGCAGCCCCACCCACGCTGCTACACCCACATAGCCCAACCCACACAGCCCCACCCACAGTCAAACCCACACAGCCCCACCCACAGTCAAACCCACACAGCCCCACCCACAGTCAAACCCACACAGCCCCACCCACAGTCAAACCCACACACCCCACCCACAGTCAAACCCACACAGCCCCACCCACAGTCAAACCCACACAACCCCACCCACAGTCAAACCCACACAGCCCCACCCACAGTCAAACCCACACAGCCCCCACCCACAGTCAAACCCACACAGCCCCACCCACAGTCAAACCCACACAGCCCCACCTACAGTCAAACCCACACAGCCCTACTCTACAGTCAAACCCACACAGCCCCACCTACAGTCAAACCCACACAGCCCCACACAGCCCACCCACAGTCAAACCCACACAGCCCCACCCACAGTCAAACCCACACAGCCCCACCCACAGTCAAACCCACACAGCCCCACCCACAGTCAAACCCACACAGCCCCACCCACAGTCAAACCCACACAGCCCTACCTACAGTCAAACCCACACAGCCCCACCCACAGTCAAACCCACACAGCCCCACCCACAGTCAAACCCACACAGCCCCACCCACAGTCAAACCCACACAGCCCCACCCACAGTCAAACCCACACAGCCCCACCTACAGTCAAACCCACACAGCCCCACCTACAGTCAAACCCACACAGCCCCACCCAGACAACGTCATCCACACAATTCCTACTCATATATCCCCACCTACACATCCCTACACACACAGCCTCACCCACATAACCTCATCTACACACTCTACCCACACAAACCCACTCACACATCCTAACCCACACAGCCCTACCGACACATATCTACAGTGCCCATACATCAACGCCCACAAGCTGTTTGTTAGTACATAAGGCGACAGTGTGGCCGGCAATGCACTAAAACGCCTTCACCTTTCGACTGTAAATTTAGGTACCAATTTACAGCTCGAGTGAACTAAAGGCGCTCTGGGCGAAAACCAGTGAACCTCGGGAGAAGGCGAGGAATTATCCACTCATCCACCACATCAGTAAACAGCTGTGTATTTATTATCATACCTTTATGACTGCGGTTTGTCGTGTATACATACCCAGACTCTTTATACCCTCTCTGGGCCCTCTACCTGAACACTTCCTCAGTTTTGCTCACCTGTAGCGTACTACGGACAGCGTCGAAGTCTGAGTTGAGGGTGCGAGCGTCCTTGGGGAATTGGGCAGCGCGCTGGAGGTGGGTGGTGCCGGGGGATTGGAAGGACAGTCCAGTTACCTCCGCCTCGCCCTGACGAGCCTCGTACTGCTGTCCCATAGTCTCGCCTGCCGGGAGAGAAGGTGGTCAATGAGGAATTATGGAGGGAGGTCATGTACTCTAGGAGGTCATGTACTCGAGTACTCTAGGAGGTGAGGGACTATATGGGAAGTGAGGGACGTACAGTATGTGAGGGGTGAGGGACGTATAGTATGTGAGGGGTGAGGGACGTATAGTATGTGAGGGGTGAGGGACGTATAGTATGTGAGGGGTGAGGGACGTATACTATGTGAGGGGTGAGGGACGTACATTATGTGAGGGGTGAGGGACGTACAGTATGTGAGGGGTGAGGGACGTATGTGGGAAGAGAGGAAGAGAGACAAATAATAACGAAGATAAAAACACACAACTAAAGAAGAACCTTAACACAACAAGATGGTCTTCACTGATACACTCACGCACCACAAGCCATGTAAAAAGTGCACACATTACCTGACTGTTAGTTGTACATATACAAGTGTTTAGGCATATATGTGTGTGTGTGTGTGTGTGTGTGTGTGTGTGTGTGTGTGTGTGTGTGTGTGTGTGTGTGTGTGTGTGTGTGTGTGTGTGTGTGTGTACGAATATTAGTGTAAAGGAAGGAAGAACCTAAAAACAACAACAAACTCAGCCTGGAATGCGGAAACCGTCCTGCAGAGAAATACGTAAATAAGAAACTTAAGAAGAAGTTGTAAAGTCATGCATTTGGGAAGGAAATCCTGAAGCTCAGAAATCTCGAACCAACAAAGGCAGGGGTAGGCATCCACCACTCCACCCATAGGGTCCAAATTAGCATTCCATCCCAGCGCTCTCTCGCCCTAAACAAACCTGCACACATCCGACCCCCACGATTTGAAAATCAATGAAGTGAAAATTGAGAAGTTTCCCCTAAGGACCCCCGGGCTGTCGCGTTTTCCCTTAGTCCATTAGAGCCAAGACAATCCAACAAGAATACCGCAGTTTGTGTTGGGAGTTCTAATCTGAGGCGCTCCAGGCAACCCGCGGGCAAAACCTCTCCACCCGAGATGAGTTTAAGACGCTCCCCAGCTAAACTTTTTCTCTCGTCTCTTCTTGTATATTTATGAAGAAATGGCCCCAGGCAGCTGTTTACCTGTGATCTCTCTCTCTCTCTCTCTCTCTCTCTCTCTCTCTCTCTTAATTCTTAGTTTCGTTTTTTATCGTTCCATAATTTATGTCTCTCACTCCTCTCATCCAACCATTATGTCTCTCACTCCTCTCATCCAACCATTATGTCTCTCACTCCTCTCATCCAACCATTGTCTCTCACTCCTTTCATCCAACCATTATGTCTCTCACTCCTCTCATCCAACCATTGTCTCTCACTCCTTTCATCCAACCATTATGTCTCTCTCACTCCTCTCATCCAACCATTATGTCTCTCACTCCTCTCATCCAACCATTATGTCTCTCACTCCTCTCATCCAACCATTATGTCTCTCACTCCTCTCATCCAACCATTATGTCTCTCACTCCTCTCATCCAACCATTATGTCTCTCACGCCTCTCATCCAACCATTATGTCTCTCACTCCTCTCATCCAACCATTATGTCTCTCACTCCTCTCATCCAACCATTATGTCTCTCACTCCTCTCATCCAACCATTATGTCTCTCACTCCTCTCATCCAACCATTATGTCTCTCACTCCTCTCATCCAACCATTATGTCTCTCACGCCTCTCATCCAACCTTATGTCTCTCACTCCTCTCATCCAACCATTATGTCTCTCACTCTCATCCAACCATTATGTCTCTCACTCCTCTCATCCAACCATTATGTCTCTCCTCCTCTCATCAACCATTATGTCTCTCTCACTCTCATCCAACCATTATGTCTCTCACTCCTCTCATCAACCATTATGTCTCTCCTCCTCTCTCCAACCATTATGTCTCTCCTCTCATCCAACCATTATGTCTCTCCTCCTCTCATCCAACCATTATGTTTTGGTTAATATTTGGTTCTACTACTTTTGGGTTAGGTTAGGTTATGGAGGAAGAGGAAGAGGAAGGAAGAAGAAGAAGAAAGAAGAAAGAAGAAGAAGAAAGAAGAAGAAGAAGAAAGAAGAAAGAAAAGAAGAAGAAGAAGAAGAAGAAGAAGAAGAAAGAAGAAGAAAAAAAGAAGAAGAAGAAGAAGAAGAAGAAAGAAGAAGAAGAAAGAAGAAGAAGAAGAAGAAGAAGAAGAAGAAGAAGAAAGAAGAAGAAGAAGAAGAAGAAGAAGAAGAGAAGAAGAAGAAGACGAAAAAGGCGGATGAAGAAGAAGAAGAGGAAGAGGAGGAGGAGGAGGCGGATGAAGAAGAGGAAGAGGAGGAGGAGGAGGAGGAGGAGGAGGCGGAAGAAGGGAGGAATGGCAGGGGTGGAGGAGGTGGCTGCGCCCTGGGGAGTAGGAGGAGGAAGACTGCATTGAGGCAGGTGTTGTGTTACGTAAAGCGCCACACTCAACTGACTCAACCTGACCACTCAAGACAAGGTTCAATTTGGGGGAGGAAGAGGCGGGTCAGAGGTGAGGTGAAGTGAGGTGAGGGACGGAGGGAGTCAGAGAGAGAGAGAGAGAGAGATCAACACATACCAACTTTTCCCGTTAACTATTTCGTGTGCGGCTGAACGATTACAACGCTCGCCCTGTACACCTTCTGGACCGGGTCATTAAAATATCGCCAGTGCCAATGTCTAGCAACGTCTGGCGTACCCAGTTCACTCAATTGTGTGTGTGTGTGTGTGTGTGTGTGTGTGTGTGTGTGTGTGTGTGTGTGTGTGTGTGTGTGTGTGTGTGTGTGTGTGTGTGTGTGTGTGTGTGTGTGTGTGTGTGTGTGTGTGTGTGTGTGTGTGTGTGTGTGTGTAATGTGTGTGTGTGATGTGTGTGTGTGTGTGTGTGTGTGTGTGTGTGTGTGTGTTGTGTGTGTGTGTGTGTGTGTGTGTGTGTGTGTGTGTGTGTGTGTGTGTGTGTATGTGTGTGTGTGTTGTGTGTGTGTGTGTGTGTGTGTGTGTGTGTGTGTGTGTTGTGTGTGTGTGTTGTGTGTGTTGTGTGTGTGTGTGTGTGTGTGTGTGTGTGTGTGTGTGTGTGTGTGTGTGTGTGTGTGTGTGTGTGTGTGTGTGTGTGTGTGTGTGTGTGTGTGTGTGTGTGTGTGTGTGTGTGTGTGTGTGTGTGTGTGTGTGTGTGTGTGTGTGTGTGTACAATGTTTATCATAACTATAGCATTTACATTTCTTTCCCTCTGATCTACACACCACTGTTTACCTCTACCTCTGTCACCTCTCAGAGTCACCCCGAAGACCTGTCTCTCTCCCGATACTACAGACAGACAGAGACAGACAGAGACACAACATCATCCACGTCTCTCCCCACCACACCATCAACTCTCCCACACCTTTCCTCCTCCACCACAACGTCCCCTCGTCCACTCTGTAACACCAAGGGGAGTTCTCACAATTTTTTAGCGTTTTTTCCCTCACTGTCTTCACTGAGTCACAACTTTGTGGCTCCGCTAATGAGCGTAAAAATAGATACAATAAAAGTTGAGAGACGCAGAACTTTGCGTTTCAGAGGTGCGTTCAAAAATGCCGCGTTTATTTTCCTTTTACTAAACACACGATATTTCTGGCCGAGGTGAGGGAGGCTGGCTGTTCACGCCTCGCCCACCCACATCAAAGACCTGCTCTAAGTATATTTCTGTGAGCCAGTATACGTACAGATATAACGCGAGTCTACCATGGTATATCACTAGGCTTATTTACACCACAGACCAGCCGGAGGTATATTTCCGGGGTATAATTCATAGTGCTGTGGGCTAGTGAATGTTATATACATGAGAGAGAGAGGTCTATAGTGGTGTGTCACTATCTTACTCACATTCAATTTCCACTACAAGTACACTTTGTTTTGAGTATACAGTAACAGGTATAAACTGCACGTGAGTATATTAAGGGCGTTAGTTCACCTGCACACCTGACTGTACTGCACGAGGTGGTGGAGGGGGGAGGTGGTGGTGGAGGGACGAGGTAGTGGAGGAGGTGGTGGTGGTAGGGGAGGTGGTGGTGGAGGGAGGTGGTGGTGGTGGAGGAGAGGTGGTGGTAGAGGAGAGGTGGTGGAGGGAGGTGGTGGTGGGGAGAGGTGGTGGTGGGGGGGGAGGAGGTGGTGGAGGGGGAGGTGGTGGAGGAGGGTGGAGGGAGGTGGTGGTGGGAGAGGTGGTGGTGGTGGAGAGTGGTGGTCATGGAGGGGGTGATGGTGGTGGAGGAGGGTGGTGGTGATGGAGGAAGGGGGTGGTGGTGGTGATGGAGGAAGGGGTGGTGTTGGTGGAGGAAGGTGAGAGGGGTGGTGGTGATGGAGGGGGAGAGGTGGTGGTGGTGGAGGAAGGGGGGGTGGTGATGGAGGAAGGGGGGTGGTAGTGATGGAGGAAGGTGGTGTGAGTGGTGATGGAGGGAGAGGTGGTGGTGATGGAGGAGGAGGTGGTGGAGATGGAGGAGAGGTGGTGGTGATGGAGGAGAGGTGGTGGTGGAGGTGGAGGTGGGATGGAGAGGTGGTGGTGATGGAGGAGGTGGTGGAGATGGAGGTAGGTGGTGATGGAGGGAGGTGTGTGATGGAGGGAGGTGGTGGTGATGGAGGTGGTGAGTGGAGGGGGAGGTGGTGGTGATGGAG